AAAAAAAAAGAAAGAAAATGTTTTTGTTATTACACAGAGAGGCCTATTTAAGGAATGACAATGAACAATTGAAAACGTACTAGCCAAAACACTGAATCTGGAACAGGATTAATGTATTTACTTAGATGCAGTCTCATTTCTATAACTCCATTCATTCAGAAAACCCAAAGTTTATACTGGTAATAAGCATGCCCCTTCTGTCTTTCAGACATGGAATGAAAGTTTTGTCTCTATTAAAAATGTTCCATGATCAATTTTTTTTTTCTCCAAAGCCATGTAATATGTTTCCTAAATCAACGTAAACTATTAAGTAGAAGCAATTCAAGTTAAAAAGTCTGTTCATTTGCTCAGTGTCATCCTCCTGTTCATCAGTCAGGAGGTTAATGGAGTACCCATTACATACCAAGAATACAGCTGGGAACAGTGGCTCATGCCTGTAATCCCAACACTTTAGGAGGCAGAAGCTAGCAGATCACTTGAGTCCGAGGAGTTTGAGACCAGTCTGGGCAACATGGCAAATCTTGTGTCTACAAAAAATACAAAAATTAGCTGGGCATGGTGCTGTGAGCCTGTAGTCCCAATTACTTGGGAGGCTGAGGTGGGAGGTTCGCTTGAGCCCAGGAGGTGGAGATTGCAGTGAGCTGAGACCACACTTCTACACTCCAGCCTGGGCAACAGAGTGAGACTCTTATCTCAAAAAAAAAAAAAAAAAAAAAAGACTTTCTCAAATCAAGCTGGAAACTAAAATTTAAGTGAACATAATAATGTGAATACAGAGATATTTATGTGGAAGCCAAGAAAGGACAGAGTGAATTGAAAGCCAAGATCAACAGAGAAGTAGTTTTTCTCTTTTTGAATGGCTTGTCTCCTTATTTCTCTCCCTCTCTCTCTCTCTCTCTCTCTCTCTCTCTCCTCTCTCTTTGTTAGTCTGATGTCTCAGTGTGTACTCAAACTTTAGTGTTTGACTTGACTCAATTCTTGATGGATAGAGAACAGCAACGGAGACCAAATATGTGTAATGTTTGAAAGAAATTCAACATAGTATATCATTAGTCCTTTATAAAAAATGTTTATTGGCCAGGCGTGGTGGCTCATGCCTGTAATCCCGGTACTTTGGGAGGCTGAGGCAGGCTGATCATGAGGTCAGGAGATCAAAACCATCCTGACTAACACGGTGAAACCCCATTTTTACTAAAAACACAAAAAATTAGCTGGGCATGGTGGCACACGCCTGTAGTAGCATCTACTTGGGAGTCTGAGGCAGGAGAATCACTTCAACCCAGGAGTCAGAGGTTGCAGTGAGCTGAGATCATGCCACTGCACTCCAGCCTGGGCAACAGAGTGAGACTCCTTCTCAAAAAAAATTTTTTTTAATTAATGATAGGGCCCCTACTATGATTTAGCAAATTTAAACTAGCCCAATAATTTATCATCAATTTTTTTGTGTATAGCAAACTCAAAATTTGGGCTAATGCAATGATAATACCTAAAACCTCCAACTTCTGATTCTAGCCTCTCTCTGGGCCCTCTTCCCTCCTCCATACAGTCTTGCAGTGACATTAGGACAGTTGATTTGTAATACTGTCTAGTAAGGGTAGCAATCTATCTAGATCTGTAATACTATCTGGAAAGCAAATAATACAGACCAGGAACTCAAACTGATTTATCAGAGAGGATCAGAGCTTCTCCTGTCTCTCTCGACTCAGTTCTGTTCTCATAGTCCTTGCTCCCAGTTTTTATTATTTTCAACACAAACACTATAAGATTTGACCTTCAACTTCTCAGATTGTCTATAATTGCAACATATCTGTCTTAGAAAAGTGACCTGTAGCCTGGGTGCAATGGCTCATGTCTATAATCCCAGCACTTTGGGAGGCTGAGGTGAGAGGATCTTTTGAGGCAGGAAGATTGCTTGAGGCCAAAATTTCAAGACCAGGCTGGACAACGTAGTGAGAGCCCATGTCCACGAAAACAAAAATAAACTTAGCTGGGTGTGGTGCCACATGTATAGTCCTAGCTACTCAGGAGGCTGAGAAAGGAGGATCAGGATCAGTCGAGCCCAGAAGTTCAAAGCTGCAGTGAGCTGCAATTACACCACTGCACCACTCCAGCTTCTGTTCATCCACTTAAAAGGAGAGACTTCTCTGGGACCCAGGGGTTCAAATTATGGAGGGAAGGTGTGGAATATCTTTCTGTGTCCAAGTCCCTGAGGGCAGGAAGGAGAACTGAGAGACTGGCCTTATCGGAACTTGCTGATACTGTTAGCTCATGTCCTTTTTCTCTCTCCTTTCACTGTCAATCTCCTAAAATGTGTGGTCCACACTCACTGTGCCCACTTTCTCTTCTCCCATTCTCTTCTTAACATCTTGAGCTTTGACTTCCATCCCTAAGACTGCTGTCTCCAAGATAACCAATATTCTTTCAGTTTTATTGAGTTCATATTTTCTTCTCAGCAATATTTTTCTGCTGATGGAAGAATCTCTCTGTAGTGCCTTTTAGTGGCCCACCATTACATTTCCTTTGCCAATATCTCTCCTCTTTTTTGGGGATACATGTTATGATTTGTGATACAAGTACGGAGATACAGGTGACGGGGGGATGGAGGCAGCAAACCACCTTGCCATATAAGTACCTATGCAACAACCCTGCATGATCTGCACATGTACCCCAGAACCTAAAGTATAATTTAAAAAAAAAAGGAAACAAGCTGAGTCCATAGGAGAAGCTCAGAAATGATTGATTGATACAGTAGAAATTAATATGATGAAGGTGAGGTTTTAGAAATCAGCGTTTCTCAAATTTCAAATCCAAGATAAGATCTATCATGTTTCCAGAAAATTTGATTGAATATCATATTATGCTGTCTGGTCTTATAGTGAATAGAAGGTAAATGTTACTGTACCATTTATTTTAATAAAAACAATATGTTTGCTATTGATGAGAGCTAACTCCAAGATTTATTTTTTATCTGAATTTGATCCATAAAAACCATTTCATAAAAAGGAGTATAAATTATGAAAACCAAGCCCCATCTAAAGTTGCTGTTTGGGCCAGGGCACAGTGGCTTACACCTATAATCCCAGCACTTTGGGAGGCCAAAGCAGGTGGATTACCTGAGGTCAGGAGTTCAAGACCAGCCTGAGCAACACGGTGAAACTCCGTCTCTACTAAAATTAAAAAAAAAAAAAAATTAGCTGGGTGTGGTGGCAGGTGCCTGTAATCCCAGCTACTTGGGAGGCTGAGACAGAAGAATTGCTTGAACTCAGGAGGCAGAGATTTCAGTAAGCCGAGATCATGCCATTGCATTTCAGCCTAGGCAACAAGAACAACACTCCGTCTCAAAGAAAAAAAAAAAAAAGATTAGCTAGCCAAGCAGATCTCATCTATCTTTAGTTTTCAGACTCTGGGGATCAAATAAAAGGAAAGCAGAATAGTTTAGAACAAGAAATGATTCATATTGGAATACAACCAGAATAAGAAAAAAACAAATAGCTATAATCTCTGTTTGTCTTCCATGGAGCAGAGTTCCGCAAAAGAAATCTTTTTATATAGATGTGGGCTTACTTCCTCCTTTCCCTGAATCCTTGTTAAAGCTTTCGGTAAACAGCTTTGGTTAATATAATCCTGTTTCTTTTCTTTTTTTTTTTCAAACAGAGTCTCACTCTGTCACCAGGCTGGAGTGCAATGGCGTGATCTCGGCTCACTGAAACCTCTGCCCCTGGGTTCAAGTGATCCTCCTGTCTCAGCCTCTCGAATAGCTGGGACCAGAGGCGCATGTCAGCATGCCCAGCTAATTTTTGTAATTTTAGGGGAGATGGGGTTTCCCCATTTTGGCCAAAATGGTCTCAATCTCTTGACCTCATGATCCACCCACCTCAGCCTCCCAAAGTGCTGGGATTACAGATGTGAACCACTGTGCCTGGCCAATCCTGTTTCTTTTAATGACATTGTTTCACTATTTAGCTATTATACACTTTGTGACTTTACCCTCATGGATAAGTTGCCATGCCCATTAAATTCTTGGGAATATAAAAAATTTAGCCCAAGAATCTAACTGGACCAGATTTTTCAAGCAAAATCTTTGTTTTCTTTCTATTGGTTCAGGGTCCTCTGAATAAAAAAGAAAATGAAGCTATAGGTAATTTTAAAATTCTTTTGGAAAGAAAGACAACCAATGTTGGAAGCAACACTGTCAAGCTGGGCACAGTGGCTCAACGCTTGTAATCTCAGCACTTGGAAAGGCCAAGGCAGGTGGATCTCCTGAGCTCAGGAGTTTGAGACCACCCTGGGCAACATGGTGAAACCCTGTCTCTACTAAAATACAAAAAATTAGCTGGACATGGTATTGTGCACCGTAGTCCCAGGTACGAGGGAGGCTGAGGCATGAGAATTGTTTGAGCCCCAGAGGCAGAGGTTGCAGTGAGCTGAGATCATGCCACTGCACTCCAGCTTGGGCTACAGAGTGAGACTCTGTCTCAAAACAAAACAAAACAAAAACAATACTGCCTACTATTAAAATAATAGGCCAGATGCAGTGGTTCATGCCTGTAATCCAAATACTTTGGGAGACTAAGGCAGGTGCATTGCTTGAGCCCAGGAGTTCAAGACAAGCCTGGACAACATGATGAAACCCTGTTTCTACAAAATAGAAAAATAAAAAAATTATCTGGACATGGTGGCATTCACCTTTAGTCCCAGTTACTTGGGAGGCTGAGGCAGGAGGATCACCTGAGCTCATGAGGTCAAGGCAGCAGTGAGCTATGATTGGGCCACTGCATTCTAGCCTGGATGACAGAGTAAGACTCTGTCTCAAAAAAAAAAAAAAAGCAGACGTTTATTGAGCATCAGTCAAGTGTAGGAAATTAGAGAATAGATAAGGCCATAGCCCTTGGCCTTAAAAAAAAATGACCATTAGTATGTCAAGTGCTAGGTACTAGCAGGAATGCAAAAGAAGTATTCAAGAGGGTTCATGGTGGCTCACATCTGTAATCCCAGAACCTTGGGAGTCCAAGGTGGGCAGATCACTTGAAGTCAGGAGTTCAAGACCAGCCTGGCCAACACGGTGAAACATGGTCTTTACTAAAACTACAAAAATTAGCCAGGCATTGTGGCAGGTGCCTGTAGTCCCAGGTATTCAGGAGGCTAAGGCAGGAGAATTGCTTAAACCCGGAGGTGGAGGTTGCAGTGAGCCAAGATAGAGCCATTACACTCTAGCCTGGGCAACAGAGCGGGACTCCATCTTAAAAAAAAAAAAAAGGGCCGGGCGCGGTGGCTCAAGCCTGTAATCCCAGCACTTTGGGAGGCCGAGGCGGGTGGATCACGAGGTCAAGAGATCGAGACCATCCTGGTCAACATGGTGAAACCCCGTCTCTACTAAAAAATACAAAAAATTAGCTGGGCATGGTGGCGCGTGCCTGTAATCCCAGCTACTCAGGAGGCTGAGGCAGGAGAATTGCCTGAACCCAGGAGGTGGAGGTTGCGGTGAGCCGAGATCGCGCCATTGCACTCCAGCCTGGGTAACAAGAAAGAAACTCCGTCTCAAAAAAAAATAAAAAAAAATAAAAAAAGAGAGAGAGAGAAAAGAGAGTTCTGTAGTATTGCCCTACTCTCCCTTACTAACAGACCTCCAATTTTGACCAGGAGTTTACCCTTCTGTTGAACAGACCATATATGCCTCAGGAGAAATGAATTCAATTTTATAGTTCTGGAGACTTGGTTAATCTAAACTAATCACAAAAACTCCTTTCCAGGCTAGGCGCAGTGACTCAGGCCTGTAATCCTAGTACTTTGGGAGGCCGAGGTGGGTGGATCACCTGAGATCAGGAGTTCAAAATCAGCCTGGCCAACATATTGAAACCCTGTCACTACTAAAACATACAAAAATTAGCCAGGCATGGTGGCGGGTACCTGTAATCCCAGCTACTCTGGAGGCTGAGGCATAAGAATTGCTTGAACCCAGGAGGCGGAGGTTACATTGAACTGAGATTGTGCCACTGCACTGCAGCCTGGGCAACAGGGCAAGACTCAGTCTCAAAGCAACAACAACAACAACAAACAAACAAACAAACCTCCTTTCCATTGATATGTAAGTGGCTTAAGATATGTAAACCAGTTCTGACCAACAACTCATAGGAGGTTTGTTGGAAGGATCTTCATTGATCTTGCTGAGTGTTAAGGGGTAGAATGTAGCCTATATAGCCTGATAGTTACTGACAGTCATCTTGAGATTATGGCAGAGGAGGCTTAGAATTAAGCCTATATTACAGAAGGCAGAGCAGAGAGATGGAAAAAACTGTTTTGTTTTTCTTTTTTTCTTTTTTTTGAGAAAAAGGGTCTCATTCTGTCACCCAGGCCAGAGTGCAAGTGGTACAGTCATGGCTCAATGCAGCCTTGACTTCTCAGGCTCAAGCAATCCTCCTGTTTCAGCCTCCTGAGTAGCTGGGACTACAGGTGTGTGCCACCACACTAGGCTCTGAGTTCTTGATCATGTAATTTTTCCTCTGAGTTAACCAACCCTGAAGCTTTTGTGAGCCAATATACTGTTTATTTAGGACAGTTTGAATCATCTCTCTCCTTCTTTCTCTCTCTTCTTCCCTTTCTCTTCCTCCCTCCCTCCCTCCGTCTCTCCCCCAACTTCTCTTTCTCTCTCTCTCTCTCTTTCTTTCTTTTCTTCTTTCCTTCTTTCTTTCTTCTTTCTCCTCACTCTGTCGCCCAGGCCAGAGTGCAATGGCACAATCTCAGTTCATTGCAACCTCCACCTCCCGGGTTCAAGTGATTATCCTGCCTCAGCCTCCCAAGTAGCTATGATTACAGGCACCTGCCACCATGCTTGGTTAATTTTTGTATTTTTAGTAGAGATAGGGTTTCACCATGTTGGCCAGGCTGGTCTAGAACTCCTGACCTCAGGTGATCTGCCCTCCTTGGCCTCCCAAAGTACTGGGATTACAGGCGTGAGCCGCGGCACCCCAAGTGGCAGATTTTTCAGTTGTCAATGCCTATGCATGTGTTCATGACCTTGGTCATACTGTTCATGTTGATATTGTTTTCTTTAAGTTATAGGCACTGAATTACAGGTATTAAGGTGAATTTCCATTTAAAATTAATCATGATTGCATCATGATTCAGAATTGAAATGAAAGTCTATTCTGTCTTCAGAAAAGCACAGAAACAGCAGTGAAACATAACATTGATATAAATGTAGCAAATATTCGTCCTTGGAGGATTTACCACAATTTTATAGTTCCTTGCAAATACTTTATACAGGAAGTAGGAAAAGAAGACACCCATAAGTATATGAGACTGTGTTACATTCTGGTACTGAGACGCATGCATAAGGAATGCCTATCACACATCAAACAAAGCACCTGAAAGCAAGAAAAAAAAAGCCAAATACCCCAGAATAGATGTAAGAAATGTCAAGATCATGATAGGTTTGTGTTATTGCATCACACAGGACTGTCATTAAAGCATTGTGCCATAGAAAATGGAAACATTATCAGCTGCCTTATGCTTATAGGAAACTAATTGCCAAATTGGTCTTTTAGGTAGACGTGGTCACACCAGTTGTGTATGAGAATTTATTTTCCTGAACTAGGAGCAGAGCTCTAAATAATTTGATCTTATTATTTTTATTTTTGAAGACCAGATCACTTTTACTATTTAAGTGAAACTACCACACTGTTATTGGAGATACTATTTAGCCCTGGCAAAATCCTGTTTAAAAAGATAACCACTCTAGCCAGATGTAATGTTGCATACTGTAATCCCAGCTACTTGGGTGGATGACACAGGAGGGGTGTTTGAGCCCAGAAGTTTGAGGCTATAGTACACAATGACAGTGCTTGTGAATAGTCACTGTATTCCAGCTTGGGCAACATAGTGAGATCTCATCTCTCAGAGAAAGAAAAAAGAAGAAAACCACTATAACTTTGGAACTTGCACGTTTTGGAATAAACTTAGTTGGATGGATATATTCCTCTGCAGTTAGCATCTGTAATATCCATGGCATAATCCACATTTTTCTGGAAATGCTTGTGTGCAGCAGCATAGAAGTTTCTTAGCCTCTTGTGTGTTTTAAATGTTTATAGACATATTTAGAGTGTAGAGAGACTGCTGCCTGTAAATAGAACTGCTACTCTGAACAGTCCCTAAATGATCTCTCTGCCTCTTTCCTTGTCTTCACTTAATTCAATATGATGCAAAATGTCCTTTCTAAAGTCTGATTTGGTTCTACTGCCTGGAGAATAGCATACAGACTCCTCAGTATGATATTCAGTTTGATAATGTCAGCCTACGTTTCCAATTCAATTTTGTACCACACTGTTTTACATATTCTATGCCTCAATCGCTTGGAGGGCTTGCCTTTGCCCAAACCTACTT